GGTTTACTCTTGACTGCAGGTCTTAGTTTTATTTTCTGACATCCGAGATGGTGCTGATTATAAGTTTGTGACACCTATAAAGTTATTCCATGGTACAACCCTTTGAAAGAGGATTATAATAAAGACTTCCTTAATTGATAATCACACCTACAATAACAAAATTTTTAAAGCTGCACTGCTTTTGCCTTTGATTTGCCATGTTGTATTTTGGTGTATCCCGTCAGGAAAACAGTAGATGGAAACCATTCTAGGTAATTCAAGCAGAGGGAATTTAATTTCGAGAATTGATTTAACAGGTGCTGAAAGGCTACAAGAGCAAAAGAGGAAGAAGAACTGCATTTGCAAAAAGGAAGAGGGGGGAGACCCAGACACTGCTAATGGCTCTGAGCTGACTGAAGCACGGCTGCCGTTGGAAAAGTCCCCACAGTCAGCTCTGCATCCACTGAAGATAGATGCTATTCTGCCTGGAGCTGAGAATCACCACTGACTGAGCACCCCAAGTGAAGTGGGGGCAAATCAATCCTGAGCAAAAGAAAAACTTTCCCCCAAAACTAACTGTGGGTTTCTTTAGCTACATTTTCACTTCCCCTCTGGGAAATTTCTAGATTGATTTCTATAGCCATATAGAGGAGCTCCTGTTGAGAATTTCCCGTGGAAGTCAATGAAAGAGAGCTTGGTCTCTGACTGTATAACCTTTGTGTGTCTCTGCTACCTTAGGAAATGAAGGGAGAATTGGTGGAACAGAGAACTTGAAGTGTTTATTTCATTCACTTATTTATTTTTGGGACAGGGCTCCTGGTTGGGGGTAGGAAGAATCTCAAAAACTGCCAAAGGAAGAAGCCAGACAATTTCAAGCAACCGCCACTCCTTGGTTCTAGAAAATTAAATAATTTGGAATCCTGGGAAACACATACTACATCAAGTCACGTAAAAAGGTGGGCAAAGGCAATTCTCTAATTCATGGTGTCAGCCGAGAGGTGGGGGGCGGGGGGAGGTTTTGGGGCATCAGTGGTCAAACAAGAATTGTGCTTACTTCAAAGTCTGTCTCTTGGAGCTGTGCATGTCTTCAATCTTTGGGGGGTCTAATCATCTTTGGGGAACTGAGGCACCATATGCACTTGGTTGCCATTCCTCTGATGTTTGTCCTTGGGATCTTGGTGACTTTTGCTGGCTTATAATTGAGGCTTTCTGGTAAGCACTGCTGGCTGACAGTCAACCTGTCAAGCTCTGTGCGTCCATTCTGGTCTCTCATCCTTCCCTTCTCTGTCCCTGGCAGCAGACTCTTCCAGAAATCTTTTCTTCCTTTTTTCCACCCTAATAATACGTCCAGATTTCTTTCTGACCCTAGATCTTCTTGCTGCTTGCTTTGCCTCCCCATCCCCCTTAACTCCTCACAACTCTGTTGACAACATCATATGTGTCCTGTTTTTTGTTCTTTCTCCCTTCCTATCTTCACCCCTCACTCCCAGTATAGCAGAAATCCATATTATTTTTCAGGTACTTAACATGCCATAATTGTGTATTAATGACAACAGTTACCTTGCCTGGGCAGGCTCTTCATCCGCCTTAATGGGCTTTAAAGTACAAAGAACCCCAGCCTTTTAGTTTAGCACATATTGTTTTCCTGGGGCCATGTTTTTATATCCAGTCTTTTCAGGAGGTTATGGGAGTAGTCTTCATAATGCCTTCTCTATCACTGAGGTGCAGAGCACTGACTGGGCTCAAGTAATAGCTCTAGCACTCACCGCCTGATCTGCCTACACATTCATAATGCAGAACATGCTATTTATGTCTTCCAGATTTATACCCACTCTTCCGTACTGGGCACTGCTGACAGTCTGAAAACTACATTTCCTAAGGCCTTTTGCCAGCTGGCTTCCTGTTGGCCATCAGAGGCATTGGTAAAGGATTAATAGATGAGAAGAAGAAAGAAGCTTGTGGCTTGGGGCTCACTCAGTGTGTCAGGGGCAGTGGATGGGGGTTGCTGGTGACTCACACAGTGGTGTGCGGTGCTGCTAATAGATTGGTGGTTTGAACCTACCCAGCGGCTCCACAGGAGAAAGACGTAGCAATCTGCTCCTGTAAAGATTAAAAACTCACTAACCCACTACTGTCCAGTCGATTCCAACTCATAGCAACGCTAAAGGACAGAGTAGAACTGACCCATAGGGTTTCCAAGGCTGTACATCTTTACAATAACAGCCTGCTACATCTTTCTCCCACAGGTGACCTTTTGGTTCGCAGACGAGTACTTTAACCACTGTGCCACCAGGGCTCCCCTGTGAAGATTACAACGCAGAAAACCGTATAAGGCTGTTATACGCCCTCACAGGGGGTCACGACGAGTCGAAATCAACTCAAAGACACCTACCCACAACAAAGAGCCACTTACAGTCTTCCAATTTAAACACAGCATGGCAGTAGAGCTGCCAGATAAAAGACAGGACTTACTGTAATGTTAAATTTGAATTTCAGATAAACAACAAATATTTTTAGTATAAGCATTTCAGATGAACAATGAATATTTTTAGTATACATATGATCCATGCAAATATTTGGGACATGTTAATACTAAAAAAATTATTTATAGTTTATCCAAATTCAAGTGAAATGGGACTTTTTTATTTCTTAAGTCTGCCCACTCCATAAGGCATCAAAACTTAAACTGGTGCATTTAATCATTCTACTTTTCATTTAAGGTCTACAGTCATTGACTCATTTAACATACAGCCTAAACCAAAAGTCAAACCAAAACTGTGGCTGTCAAGCCGATTCCGATTCATAGCAACCCTACAGGACAGAGTAAAATTGCCCTATAGGGCTTCCAAGGAGCGGCCAGTAGATTCAAGCGGCCAACCTTTTGATTAGCAGCCATAACTCTCAATCACCACCAGGGCTCCAATATACAGTCTAGTAAGTAAAAAAAAAAAAAAAAAAATTTTGATACAAAGCAACAATCCCAAAAGGGGACTGTCCCAGGGACTCTTACCAATACAGAGACTCAATGAGACATAGTATGGATTTAACGTTTTTGTTTGTGGATTTGTTTGCTTCTATGAAAGACTTGGAATCATGGTGGGGTTTTATTTACTTATTTTTCCTTGCATTTGGGAGGTGTATGCAAGTTTCATACAACGTGAGCTACCAGCCTGTCCAACGGACAAATTAGTTAAAGACATCAAAGGTCCCCCAGAAGCTCTCTCTTCTCTCACAGAATCATCAAAAGCTGGCCCTGTTCTTTGTGAGAGTTCATCTCTTATTCCTCCAGATCTCATCAGGGTCCAGAGCTGTATGAGTAACTGCACAAGCAAGAAAAGAAGAACTGGGCTGTGTGAGCAAAAAGACACTATGAAAATTCTCCTGGGGCTCCTCAAGAGAAAAAGGAGTCCAAACTTCCACATTAGTTAGCTTGACTCATTTGCTGTTCATGGCGAGGAGACGGAATTACAGCAGCCCATAATAGTTAAATAGTAATGTTTTCTTTGGCTCATTGCTCCAGGGTGAGATGTTTCCCCTGCAGTCACTGACACCATCCCCAGCACCCTAAATAGCAAAAGTGTGCCCCATTCTCTCCGCTGGTGCACTCACAGACTGTTGGGTAAGTGTCTCTATCATGGGGTTTCAGGTAGGTGCCCTGGCATTTGCCTTTCATTTTCTGTGCACTATCTTAAAAAAAAAAAATTCTGAATTCAAGACTTATATTTCCAAGTCAGAAAGTCAGATTCTTTAAGTCTCTTTTCTAAAAGCAGAGACATCTTCTCCCCTCTTCTTGATGTGTCATCAGCGGCTTTAAAAGCAATCCCTTTGTGTCTGTCACAGTGACTCAGAAAACTAGGCCAGTGGTGATTCTGTCATTTAGTGGTTCTGTGGCAGATGTGCCCCACTGTCTTTCATTTCTATGCTTTGAAATACTAAGTGGGCCTCACCGAGACATCTTTTTATCACAAAGCACTGCATGTAATGGTTTTGGAATACTGGGAGGGGAATAGAGACGGGAGGACCCACTTTTGCATAATTGCTGTTTATTTCTGTGGCAAGCCACTAGTCGGGAAAACATGTATTTGAGGGACATTTAAGGTTTGGCATTTCCATAGTTGACTTCAGTCCTTGGAACTGTCATTTGTGTGGTGACATTTGCAACTTGACCATCCTAGAGTGTCTGGTTGCCAGACAGCAGCCACTTTGGCAAGAAGGATCTCCAGTGGGACGGGAAGAGGCTGTCTTCTAAAACGAATGGATACATGTCTGCTCGGGGCCCCGCTATCAGCTCAAACAAACAGCTGCATTCAGAAGGCTTCTCCTATCTGGTAAAGCCAGAAAAGGTGAGCTGTTCCAGGGAAGACCAGAGAAGAATATACCAGAACCTAAGTGGAAAAACATACTTCTTTTTAAGGAAAATGAAAGAGCTCGATTGTAGGATAAGAACGATACTTGCTCTTTCTCCCCACGGTCATTCTACCCCCTTTGCAGTAGGTCTGAGCACAGAGCCCCACAAAGTTAGAATCTGTAAACTCTACCTGTTGCTGTTGTTGCTAGGTGCCGTCAAGTTGTTTTCAACTCAGCAACCCCGTGTGACAGAGTAGAACTGCCCCATAGGGTTTTCTTGGTTGTAATCTTCAGGGAAGCATTGCCAGGTCTTTGTGGGTGGATTTGAACCAGCAAACTTTCAGTTTACTATTTGCGCCACCAGGGCTCCTAAACTCTACCCAGATCAGAGTTATCTGTGGGGGCCTGACACCAACACGAACCACCTCCAGTCAAGTTCATTGGTTTTTCCTAGTGTGGCATATCTTCCTTTCTGTTTAGATTCTGACAAGCCTTGATGATGTAAGGAAAGAAGTTAGCGGAAACTCTTTTTTTTTTTAACCTCTTCCCTTTCCCTTGCTCCTGTACCTCTGCTCTCTTCCCCACTCACCAGTTTCCCTTTCTTGACCCAAAACAAAATTTAAAAAGAGAAGATGCAAGATGGGGTCAAAGAGAAGAGGAGTGGGTGATGAGATAGAATAGGAAAAGCCTGAAGATCAATAGAGAACTTCTAACATGGGTTTTCAGTCCCTAAGAAGTTGGATAAAATTGAAACATGCCCTTGAAAAAAATACATGCCCTGCCATGATGAAGTAACAATAATAATAACAAGCAAAGGCATATAAAGCTCATACTGTTCTGTACGCTGCATATGCTAACTCGTTTAATTTTCACACACCCTATGAGGTAAGTACTAATATTATCTCTTCTAATGGATGAGGAGACAGGCCCAGCGAGGGTAAATAATTTGCCCAGCCTCACACAGTATGTAAGTTGTAGATCCACTAGAACTCAAACCCAGCAGCTTATGCTGCCTCCCTGGGTTGGAAGTGTTCATTTCCATCCATATTGTCTTCCCACTCTCTGCTGATACCACATATTTTTTTTCTTGTGGGGTTGAAAGATAGAGACGGATTTACTCTTTCACAGATTTCACTGAATGTTCCCAGGGTCCAGAAAGGAAGACTGTGACAAAAGACGACAGGAAACATACCATCTTCAATCCACAAGTCAAGATCATTCACCAGCCTACCAGGATCAGTCAGCCAGAGTTCAATCAGAGAAGTAGTAGAAAGTATTAATAAGACTGAACCCTAGCTGACTGATACAAGTAGGGGATATATATATATATATATATATCTCCAGTTGCTGTCCAGTTAATTCCAACTCATGACAACCCCATGTAGATTACAGTAGGGTTTTCAATGGCTGTGATCTTTCAGAAGTAGATCACCAGGCCTTTCTTCTGAGGTGCCTCTGGGTGGATTCGAACTGTCAACTTTTTTGGTTAGTAGCCAAGCACTTAACCAATTGTGCCACCCAAGTACTCTCTCCCTGTCTTTGTATATATGTGTGTGTTTTATATATACATATATATACACATACATATATATATAGTTTATATTGAGGTATAATCCATACTGAAGGCTGCAGTCTTTGATCTTCAACAGTGTTTCAAGTCCTCTTCACTTTCAGCAAGCAAAGTTGTGTCATCTGCATATCTCAGGTTGTTAATGAGTCTTTCTCCAATCCTGATGCCCCATTCTTC